TGTTGTCACAAATGATGCAATTTCATTGTTTTATGACTGAATTGTATTCTGGGGGGGGGGCGGGAAATGTCACATTTTCTGTCTATTGTTCAGTTGCTAGAAACTTAGGCTGTTTCTATTTCATGGTTATTGTGAATAATGCTGCAATAAATGTGAGTACAGACATCTCTTTAACATACTGATTTTATTTCTTTTGGTTATATGCCCAGTAATGGGAGGACTGGATATATGGTAGCTCTATTTTTAATTTTTTGAAGAAACTCACAGTTTTTCATGATAGCAGTACTAATTTACATTCTTATCAAGTGTGAAAGTTTCTTTTTATCCATCCTCACCAGCACTTATCTTTAGTATTTTTGATAGTAACTATTTTAACTAGTGTGAGGGGATACTTCACATGGCTTTGATTTGCATTTCTCCAAAGACTAGTGACACTGGAAAGTTTTTCCACCTTGTTGGCTATTGATGTCCTTTTAAAATACAAATATCTATTTAGTCTATTGCACATATGTCAAATCAGATATGATCATAAATTTCTAAGAGTAAAATAAAGCAGGACTGACAAGAACCCCTCTCCCAAAATATCTTATAGAACAATTGCTTCTTAGGACACTTTGTTAAGAATAGGACCACTTTTTTTCAACCTTCCCAGTAATTTAGGAGTATTTAGAAGAGAAAAATTTATAAAAGGAATCGTATAGAGGACTTGTAAATGTTGTGGATAGTCTTGTCATTCTTTATTCTCACAGTATTAGTTATCCATAGCTATGTGAAAACTCCCAAAGTTAGCCCAAACAATAAACATTTATTATTTCAGTTTCTAAAGGTTGTATGACACAGAAGGATGGCATTGGGATTTGATACAAGGAAGTATTTTAACAGAGTCTGTGTCTGAATCATTATCCACTACCACTTCCTTAGCAGTATGTCTGTGACTTCACAGGCTCACATCTTAATTTCTCCCTCTCTATTTCTCTTTCCTGTTCTTGGGCTATGGGCTACCAGGAAGAAATACTGACAGAAATGGACAGTGGAAGATTCTAGAAATCCTTCAGCCATCAAATATTTCTAAAAGCCAAATATATGTCATACTCTGGTACTTCCGTATGGTACTGTGATCAGTGCAAGACTATGTGGTCACGCTGTTTCTATTTCTGTAACAAGGGTGAAACCTTTGGTCAGAGCTTCATCATTCTGAGACACATCACAGACACTGAGATTTTCTGGGTCAGGATAGAAAGTGCCAGGAACTGTAGATCAGTAATGTAGTCTTTTCTTGGTTTGACTCGGTCCACTGTGCTTTTAAAGCCAGACTTCTAAAATGAGGATGTATTTCTGTCTCCACGTCTTCAGCTACTCAGTCCTCCTTGGCCACTCTCCATTGGTTTTGCTTCAACTACTTCACTAAAACTTATCTGTTAAAGAAACCAGTGAACACCTGGTTGCTAAAAGAAAGGTACATTTTTCAGGTGTTATTTTGAACCGCTGTGTTGCTGCTGACTTCATTTTTTCTTTGAGATATCACCCTCTTTGCTGGTTCTCTCTGGTTGTTTTATCTTGGGCTTCCTGTGGGTATGTCTTCTAGGTCATTAATTTAGGAGTTCCCTAGTGTTCTATTCTCAATCCTCCTCTCATTTTTTCTAACTTTGATTCCAGCAAAATTTCATCCAGGCCCCAAAGAAAAACTTCCTTCTGGACATCAGATCTCTAAAACCCTGTGATTCAACTCCTCTTGGATGTGCTAACGGTTTAAAACATGACTTGTCCAAATCTGATGTGATCATCTTGCCTCCAAACCTGCTCCTTGTCCTGTACTCTGTTTCTGAGAATTCACTTTACATCCAAATGGCCAGGCCAGAAGCCCTAGATTCAACCTAACACCTAGGATCTCATTCATTTGGCTCTTACCACTGAAATCTACCTTCCTTTTTTTTTTTTTTTTTTTCTTTAACATATGGTGCTGTATTTTTGAATTGTAAAAATATTTGCAAAACAGGTAACCTAGAACACATAAAAATCCATCAAGAAAACAACAGCCAAGACTCTAGGATCCCAATACCCAGGGAGGACCACTGTTGGCCTAGGTTTCTCAGGAGCCAGCTCTGAAGAAGGCATTAGAAGGCAAATCTAGAATTCTAAGACCCCAAGTAGGAACAGCCATTTCTCTTGCTCTAGTACACTTAAAGGTAAACCATATGAAGACAGGTTGTGACTCCCATAGCATTTCCCAATTCTACCTCTTTGACATCTCTCCTCTGAGTCTCCTTTCTGGGCCTCACCTGATCCTCTTGCCTAAATTTCCACAAATGCTTCCTTCTTTTCTCCGATACTACTCTAATCCTTTCCAATGTATCTATATGGCCTTCACAATTTTTTCTTTTACTAGCCACATATTGTTCAAAATGCTTCAACAGCTCACAGCTGCTTACTGACTAACATCTAAAACTTTTAATCAGGTAATCCAATTCTCGAAAATCTGTTTCTTCCTTTCAGCCTCATCTCTCCAGTGTACTTTCATTAACACAAATATTTGAAAACCTTCTCTGTTCCTGCTTGGAATCTACCATTTCTTTTGTCTGATGACCTCTCCAACCCTCAAGTTTCACCCTAAGACTGCCCACCTTTAGAGGCCCTGAAGTATAGCAGGCCCTGACGTAACATCCCCTACTCAGCATATCGCGCATGAGTTTGATTGCTCAGCAACTGGGACTCAATGACATTATAGGCACCTACCAGAATCAAGAGCAGAGTCAAACCTCTGAAGCTTCCTGTATAAGCTGGGAACAATTTTTCTATATTGATAAGATGCAGAATGATATTTATAATGTATCAATTTATTTATATGACTTCCTTCATCGTCTGACAGTAATATACTCCTAATGAAAGTAGCTTCTGAACACTTCAGATAGATTAATGAAATCTCTTTCTGATCTTCTTTCCATGGTGCTTTCCAGACGGTGGCTTCAGTAATCTTTTAAACACACATCTGACCAGTTCTCTTCCTCCACCTCATGTACACCACAACTTTCTTAAAATCTTTTATGGCTATTCAATATTCTCAAAAGAAAGCAAAAAAAACACCTCTTACGCTAACCTACCCCACATTGTCCCATCATGTTATAACTATACGGGGCTTCTCTGGATTCCTTGTCTTGCCGCCCTTTATCCATTGCAAGACTAAACTTTGCATAAAATTTTTCTGCCTGGGTCTCTTTCCATTCTTCTTTCCCTGCTCCATTTATTCTCACTCCCAATGTTGCTTCTTCAAGGCAATGTTTCCCATCCTTGCATAGACCAAATTCCCCCTACACTCTCCACCAGTGCTTGTCATGTTGCAGTTTTTTTTTCATGTTGCATTTTAATACTGAACACTGTCATGCAGTTGCCCTGTGAAGGCAGAACCACGTCTCCCTAATTCCCTACTGCATCTCCAGGCTCAGGCAGTGGTACACATAAAGAAGGAGTTCTATGATTACTTGTTGAATAAAGTTAGATCAAGAATAAAAGGGGTCATCACAATGTTTTTATCCTCATTGCAATGCTGCATTTGATGTGTCAACAACTTCCCATAGTGTTTTCAGCTAAGTTATTTATCATTAACAATATAAGTGTGAGAAAGGCAACCCAGCAAGGCGACTTGTTCAGTGTTACATGGCTAATAAGGAATAAATTGGCAGTAGAAATAAGCTTTGTCACATTTTAGACCAGGCTTCTTCTAGCCGTTAAGCAATCAAAAAAGGAAACAAAAGGAGATAATATAGAAAACAATAGGGAACATCTACATACGGAAATAGCCAAATAAGTTAAACATACAAAATAAATTTTGTAGAGTTTGGTTCATTGAACAAGGGTAAAAATACTTGACACACTACCTTTTTTTTAGTGTGTAGTTTCGGTTCTGATGAAGAGCATGCTATCTTCGGCTGTACAAAAAGGGCTGGTTAATATCATAATTCTCATTAAAATTTAGATGTTCAATAAATGTTGGCTATTAAATTGGTGGTGGAAAAAAGTATTTCTGGAAACCTCATTTTTAATGAGACTATATTTTTGTAAGGAAATGAGAAAACTTAGTCACTGAAATGAAAAGTAACAATCTATTAAAGAGCAACTTCAAAGCAATTACACTTGTTCATTTATCTAGCATTTCCTAAACATAATTTGTATTTTAAAATTTTATAACTTAAAATAATTGTGTGCCTTTATAATTACACAAGTACGTTTTAAAATTCAGTTGTTATTTCCCTACTAAAATGGACAATTGTAAACTTACATGCAAAATTAACCAAGTCTCTCTTGAGGTTATGTATCAACCTTTGCACCTTCCTTTGGTGCCTACATCAAAATAATTTTAATTTCACTCCTCATTTGAACTCATTTTGTTATCAGTTTAATCTACTTAGTAATTATGGGGAGGGGAGAGGTAGAGAAAGGGAAGCAGTCTTAGACCTTTAAAAATTCATATATTGGGTCTTCAAGTCATTACATTTACTGAAGTTGGCATTGGCATTGAGTAACAGTTGATAGGCCAGGACATGTTGAGTAGTTTCACTTGTTTGAAGGGAATGTCTGCAGCCGTTAACAATGAATTTCTGCAATTGCCCACAAGTCCAGTGAAGAGACATTACTCTTGGAATCAGAAAATACTGTACAAGAAATGAAAAAATGCAAGAGGTCGCATTTTGCCTGCTACGCTAGGTCTTTCTGGATCTAAAGGCACGTTGGTCTGCTCCAAGTTTTCAGCGCTGGCAAACTAGTCTCCGCTCAGTTCGCGGCGGACAGAGGCGCGGCGCGCGGGGAAGCAGGGTCACCGCCTCCCCCCCCCCCCGTTCCCTCCCCCCATCACCACCTGCGCCGGGTGCAGGCGGTCTGGGAGCCCAAGCTCGCGGTCGGACCCACGCACCGAGGGGCCCCGTAGCGCGCTTGCGCGCTCAGTCACGTGGTAGCTGCTCGGTACTGAGCCGGTTAAAAGTCACGACCGCAGAGCATACGAGCTGTTCGCCCGGCTGGCCTAATGCCCTTCGCACCCCTTAAGTCAAGTATGGCGACAGGCGCTCCCTTTTGTCCGACTACCTCCCGACTCCTCGGCTAGGTTCAACTACAGGAAGCGAGCAGACCAGCACGCACAGGCGAACAGCGTTTCAACCGACAATGAAGCCGTAGCCGCACACCTCAGCGGCTCCCGGCGAACAGGCGCGAGGCCGGGAGGGGGAGGAGGAGAAACGCTTGGCTAAGCCCCGCCCCAGCTCGGGCCCTCGTTGGAGGATGCCTCATTCTGGACCCGCCCCTTAACGGACCTGTCGCTTTGTGACAGGCGGAGGGGCCAGTTCCTGTTGGGTGAGGGGCGGAGTCAGACGTTGCCAGAGCTCCGCCCGGACTCCAGGGGGCTCCTCCCCTTGCTCGTCGCGGCGGGGCGGGCGTGAGGGGGAATGTCATTGCTTCTCCGAGCTGTGGTGCCGCCTCCGCCTGCTCCTTCTCTGGCGCCCTCGTCCCGTCGGCTTTCGCCGCTACCGCCACCGCCACCGCCGCCACTGCACTGGGGACACGGATGGCTAGTGGAGCGCGGGGGCCATCTGGCTTGAGAGAGCAGCGATCTCGGCCGCTGCTGAGGCGGAGACTCCCCGCCGCCTCCACCCCCAGTTCCCTGGCCTCGCGGCGCTGAGGGCGGGAGCGCGCTGAGCTCTTCCCTCCTCCTTCCTTTTCTTCCTCCTCCTCCTCCTCCTCCGGGTCCCCGCCCAGCACCCCTCGCTCCAGGCGGCGGCGGCGGCCGCTGAGGAGCGCGAGACCCGCCGCCGGGGCACAACATGGCGGAGCCCTCGGCCCCGGAGAGCAAGCACAAGTCGTCCCTCAACTCGTCCGCGTGGAGCGGCCTCATGGCCCTGGGGAATAGCCGGCACGGCCACCACGGGCCCGGGGCCCAGAGCGCGTCCAAGGCGGCAGGCGGCGCGGCGCCGCCGAAGCCGGCCCCCGCGGGGCTGTCCGGGGGTCTGTCGCAGCCCGCGGGTTGGCAGTCGCTGCTCTCCTTCACCATCCTCTTCCTGGCCTGGCTGGCCGGCTTCAGCTCGCGCCTCTTCGCCGTCATCCGCTTCGAAAGCATCATCCACGAGTTCGACCCGTGGTGAGTGCCGCCGCCCCTCCCCCGCCGCGGCTCCGGGGCGCGGGACGGCGCTGCTGCCCGCCGCGCTCGGTCCCGGGCTCCGCGCGCGCCCCCTGCCCGCGGGCGAAGTTTGCCCCGAGCGGCCCGCGGCGGGCGCCTGTGACGACCGACCGAAGGTGGGCGCCCCACTCGGGACCCGGCGCGCCTGGAGGCGGCGGGTCCTGCTCTTGGACTCGCGGCGATTCCCTGCCCGCAGCGCTCGGGCTCTTTGATATTTGCCGGCGCGTTTTTGCTGCTTGGGATGGGATCAGTCCCGCGGTTGCCCGTCGCCACAGGAGCTGGGACCCGTCCAGCTCAATCTCGCAGTTTTAATGTTCTTACACCTTTTTTTTTTTATACTCTTACACGAGAAGGGACAAGGAGAATGTGGTGTTGTAGGAAAGGAAATAATAAAAATCCTTGAAAGTGATCTGAAAGCTGGCGACTCTTATTCGCCATTAGGTATTTTCAAGAGTGGGTTTTTATTTGTTTGTCTTGTCAAGGCTCTTAACTGCACTCAGCGCCTCACTGTCCCACAATCATCTTGGGTTGCTTTTTAGAGTGGGCTCATTATTCTTTTAGCCAAACTGTCAGCCTCAGTGTGTTAAGCACTGTATCAGATAGCATTGCGTTAGTTCCTTTATTGGTCTCCGCAAGAAGATTTGTAGGTAAGAGAACCATAATGATGGGAGCCCTCGATGATACATCCAAGTTGCTTATAGTATAAGAAACTAGCTGAATTTTTAGGAAATTAGTCTACCCTTAACCCTGGCTAAAATAAGAAAACTATATTGATCTGTGAGTTGAGAAAGTAAGATTGTGTCAACTTTTTCTCTAACTTGATCAACCTGAGTTAAATTTTTCCCACCTGATCGTACCTTTTAAACAGCTTGTTGACCTGTCAACCCTCAGTTAATCTTACTTCCTTAAAATTACACCTATGAAACTTTAGGATATTTATTTGAAATGCAGAGCATCTTCTTGAGTTACTAAATACTTACGTAGATTATAAATGTTTCAGGGGTAATTTATGCATATATTAAAATACTGGATGTAAATTCTGCTTTTATAAAGAGTAAGATTTATACTGTAGCATCTACTAAATACCAGACGGGTTTACTCATGGAGAATTCAATTTAGATAAAAAGTTAATTAGTGTGACATCTTCTGGGAATGTTTTAATACCATCTTACAGATTTTAATTTTCTAAAACTAGTGTTTTGTTTTTGATAACCTTTACGTTTGGAAGTACAGAAGAAAATATTAGTGTGGATTCTACGTAAGCCTGAGAATATTTATGAATCCTTGTTAACTAGATACAGTACTCTTAGGTAGACTTAACTTTGAAACACTTAAGCAAATTAGACAAAAATGAAATTAGAACCAGAAAATGAAAACCGCTGGTATTTATTGAACAGTGTAAAAGGAGAAAGTTCTGTCGTTTCAGGTTAAAATAGCAGAAGTGCATGATTGACCAAACATTTTGAGTAACAACTGAATGAGATGATTTTTGTCTTTTTTCCCCTTACTTTGATTCTAATTTGAAAATTAGAATCTACATCAAAATCAGCCTGAGAGCGCTATTGAAACTGAATAATGTAACATGAAAAGTCTTAGTAGATTGCTTTACAAAGTAGTAAAATATTGTTTTTAAAAAACACTTAGATTTTTTTTTTCCAGTTTTGAGAATATACATAGAGGACATGATCTTTTCTCATTTCTATAAAAATGTATTTTGTCTCTCTTTTTTCATGTGTTAAAACACATTTCTGACGCATCCTTTTGTTAAAACTATCTTTTGGATTTTTAGGCAAAGTCTGTAGCATATACATCTAGGGCTAGGGATATAGCCGAGGCACATTGCCTGTCTGGCAGGTTCGAGGTCCTGAGACTGATTCCTGATACCAAAAAAAGTATGTATCTCTTTAAGTCTTAATAATCTACCTGATTTAGCTATTCTCCTTACTAATAATTTTAAAACTGTATGTTCATTATATTCTTGGTTGATTATACTCCTAATGTTGGGTATATGTAGTGAGTTGTCCCTACATTATATTGTAAATAGGTATTTGTCAGTGTGAATCTCCTGCCATTTCCAATTCAGGTGATTTACTGAGAATTAAGCTTCAGACAAAAATGATTTGCCCTCTTTTGTTTTTCTTTTCATCTATTAAAGATCTCTAGTAGTTGAACATGTTATTCATACAAATAATTCTTGTTGAAAAAAACTTAGGCATAGATACATTATTACCTGCCATTACTTTGGATTTTTAAAGCCATTTTCCCCCACAGCTGCAGATTGTACCATTACTTTAACTGGTCTACCATAGTCTAACACTAAGTTACACACTGTCTTGGAACTTGCTCAGATTATCTTCTTACTAGATAGAGTGGCAGGTATTTTAGTGTTTTTCTCATGCTTTTGTCTACAGAACAAATTTATTCTGGCCTGCCACACCTTCCTCAACTCCTTTTTCCATGTTTGATATCATTCACTTTAGGTGAAAAGCTTATTTACTCTCTTTCTATAAATTTTACAGTAGTTTGTAAATTGTGTGCCATTCAAGTTAGCTGCCAAACTGACTTGTCACACTTGTTTTTTAAATTTGTCACCCAGCTTGTTTTATATCTTACCAACTGTTAAAGAGGTGGTATATGATGTTAATTAATATATACCTTTTTTTTTTTTTTTAAGAATTTGGCAACTTTTGGGGGGACAATCTCCTTACCTTTCACTTTAGTTATTTCCACTGTTCTTAGATCAGTTAATCACAAGGAAGTAGTTTGAGAGTATGTTGTTTATATGTGCCAAACAGTTGGTTGATCATAGCACTGAACTTTTATCTTTTTATCTGGAACAAAGTTGTTGTAACTGTTAATATTTGTAAGCTTTATTAGACAGGTCTTTTTCCCTGATCTATATCGTTAAATTATAGCTTCTTTCATAGAAGCGATGAGAAAAGCTCCCTATATAAGGAGAGCTGCTCTTTTTACCTTCACATAGTAATTTCTCCCTGGAAAGACAAAAAAGTTTCAGTTTTAACTGCAGCTGTCAAAAAAGCAGCTCTCTCTTTGCAGGGCAGAAAGTTTTAAGAGTTGAAACTTGGAGTACAATTTTTTCCATAGAAACTATGATATAGATAGGTTAATTAGTACAAACATGTTTTCAGAGGAGTGGTAAACCTTGGAGCATAAGCTGTTTATAATTTGAGGACTGCTTCAATACTTTTGAGATCTTTTTTTCTTCACTTTGCAGATGAGGAAAAAGATACTGACTTCATGTCTGAAGAATACAAAATGTGTGACAAAACTAGTTTGAGAAGCAAATGTCTCCAGGTCTTGAAAAGTCACTGATTATAGGATCATTAGCAACAGCAGTCCAACTAACTATACATTGGAACAAGTATATTGTCATTAGTTGCATTGTAATTTAAAATTTTTATAGCCTACAGCTTCTCAGATTATTCTAAATTATGCTTGAGTTGCTGAATTAGATGAGGGGATTGGACTAGCCCCCAGTTTTAGTAAGCATGACTCCTGTAAGTGGTAGTCATGGATTTCATGAAGCAAATATCGGTATGTCCCTGCGTAGTTAGGCTCTGTCATGAAAGACCTTGAACCTTTTCTTTTTCTTCGGGGTTTTCTTAAGGCCTGATTTGAGTAGGACTGCATATTCTTTACTTCCTTGAGTAGTTTGCTTAAAGACCTTGTAGAAACCAAAGAAACTCAATTCATGTTACTGGGTCTGTCTGTTATGAATATAGGGAAATTTAGTAGCCTATTTTTTGCCTAATGTGCAGTTTTTATGCTTTTTTAAAAAAAGAGCGTATGGGAAAATGTTAAATGTCTCATCATTGTAATATCTTAGTTATCATTGGTACAGAAATGAGAAATGAGAAATACTAATCTTGAGTGACCAAATCAAATTTTTCCTTAACTTACTTTGAAAACTTAATGATCATAGAGAGCCACAATACTGTAGTCAATTACAGTACAATAGATTTCTATGTATTGGTAAATTATTGTGAAAATTTTCAGACTATACCACATAAATTCTGTGTTTACTATTTTGCTTTGCTTTATCATGTATATGTCCTTTTTTGCTCCTTTTAATTTAAAGAGACCAGTAGGTAGTGTGGTGTTTACTGTTGAATGAGGAGTGTTTTCCCTGTCCCTCAAGTCCACCATAAAGAAGGTATCTTATTTCTGGATAGTATTTGTTTTCTGTAATACAAGTATTTGAACACACTATGTATGAAGTACTGTTTCTGTATCCTTTGTTGGACTGCAGGTTAGGATCAGATTCCATCCATTCCAAGTTTTGGTTAGTGATGGACCTGACTACAATGTAAGTCAGTGTGCTGATCTGTGTCTGTTAATGTCTGCTGAACCTGGTATCTCAGAAGAAACTCTGCAATGGTTAGGAGGGTATTAATGTTGCTTTTACTTAAGTTATGTGAAACTCCTATATTTTCTGAGTTTTTAGAAACTTTTTATTGTTCAGGCTGTTGTCTCTTCCAAGTTTAATCCAGATAGAATTTTTTAGTGCTTTTTTGTTTTGGTTTTGTTTTTTTCTCCAAGTTTAGGATCTGCAAATATATTGTATGGGCCAAATTAATATTATGGAAAAGAGAAGCAGTGTAAATGATTCACCTTCATCTGCACTAACCTAGTTCTCACCCTGAATGATTTCCAGAGATTAAAAACAAAACAAAACAAAAATGTATGTTAGTTGTGCCAAGTGTTGGGAGAGAAAGAAGTAGTTTCTCCAGAGGTTCTCATGGTTTAGTAAGTGTAGTTTAACTGGCATTTTTGTAGGCTTGATAGGAAATCTTAACTACTATTTAAAATTTTATGTCTCTGGAAAAAATCTTCCATGCAAAGATATCTAAACATATTTTGGAATATAACTTAAAATACGAGTTTGTGAATGCCTTTGTTTAATAAAATTTGTACTTGTTTGTAGGCAAAGAATTGATAGT